AAATAATTGCAAAATTTATTAATTAGTTTTTTATTTAAATATATTTATTTTGTATTTGTTTTTTTTTTAAAAAAAAATCATTTTTTTAAATATATATTTATTTTATATACATATTTTTTTTTAAAATTTTATTAATAAAATTAATAATTTTTATATTTAAAGATTTTTAAAAATATTGTTTACATATAATTATTATTATGTTTAACATACTGTTTGTTTAAATAATATTACATCTTTAAGACAAAAACTTCATAATGCAAAAACAATAAAGAATGAACAAAATTAAAAAAACAAATTAAAAATAATAAAATTTAATTAAAAAAACTTAAAAACAAAACAAGAATTTTTAAAAAAAAAATTAAAAATTAAAAAAAGAACTAACTAATAATTATTTAATTATTTTAATGAGATTTTATTAAAATCAGCCTGGCTGATTTTATTAAAAATCAGCTCCTATTATTATTATATAAAATAAATAGTAGATCGTTGATATTATGCATTAATTATGTCGTATACATATATTTAAGTTTGTTATATACAAAATTGTGGTTTGCAATAGTATACTAGTACTAGATTTATTTGATATATGCAGGGTCTAATGAAGATAAATAAATAAAGCAATCATAACAGTAATCAATCTTTTCTATTGCTTGTGCAGTTACTTAATAAAGGCAGTCTGATTTTTGTCTCATGAATAATTAAACATGTAAAAGGAAGAGTTAAATATGCCAAGAAGGAACTATCAAATAGAAAATAATCAAATACATACCTTCAAACCAATATATTATTAATCTACATTAATTAGCATAGCTCTTTCAATTGTCCATCATAACTTCGTTACTTGTACATAACAATCCAGCAACGAAAGTAACAATTCAACATTTGTCATGTAAAACAGAGTTAAAAGAAAGTAAGAGTTTAATTCATCATGTAGAAACCAGAGAAGAACTAAAACTCTATAATTTTGAGCTGATATAAGTATCACAACGATATTCTATACATATAAAGTAATATATTGTAGCTATTTTTTTGTATCAAGATTATATTGGGTATATTCTAATTATGAATATAGTTTTTTGGTCTTGCTATAGACTTAATAATTGCAAGTTTATCCTGTTATTTCTTATCACCCCAGTTTTTTTTACAATTATTAATCATAACTGCTATATATAATACGGTATCATATAAAAATAAAAGAGTTTGATGTCAATAGTAATAGCTTTGATGAGTTTATTGATTATAATGAAGAGGTCTTTTGGAATGTTCAAGCAAATATTATTTCTTATGCTGAAAGCTATGAAGAAAGCCTTCAAGATATTCAAGAGAATATTTTTTCTCATGCTGAAAATTATGACCAACTCTATGAAGAGTTTCAAGGAAGTATTTCGCTTTGTGTTAGAAGTTATGCTGATGTTCAAGAAAATATTTTGTCTAACATTGGAAGCTATCCCTTAGATTGTAGACCAATGCAAGCAAATTTGCTTGTATTAATACTATAAATATGCTACTAATCTATTTTTTTAACAATTTAGAATATTCAAATAAAATTTGATATAATAATATTTGA